AGCCATCGAATATACCCTAACCCACAATTATTTTACCTTTTTAGGCAAATATGTCCAATTAAGGGGGACGGCCATGGGAGCCAGATTCGCTCCGAGCTATGCCAACTTATTCATGGCATGGTGGGAACAGCAATACATTTGGAACAATAACCCATTTGGCAAGCATCTTGTCCTGTTTGCTCGTTACATCGATGACATTATCATTATTTGGGAAGGTACTGAGACCACCTTAGTGGAATTTGTAGAGTATTGTAGAAGAAATCCCTTCCAACTGGTTTTTACATACGTGGTGGATAAGAATCTTATAGTATTTCTTGATTTGGAGTTAAGTGTGGATCCAAGAGGGGAAATAATTTCAAAAACGCACTTTAAGCCTTCTGCAGGTAATTCCTACTTACATGCAAGAAGTAGCCATCACCCCAGATGGATAGAAAATGTACCAGACGGGCAATTCGGTAGACTTAGAAGGACCTGTACTCAGGATTCAGATTATGGCAAACAAGGAGAGATCTTGAAGGAAAAATTCCGTGATAAGGGGTATGATCAAAGTGTCATCAATGAGGCTTTTGATAAACACCTAGTGCCCCCTCCCCTAAAAAAGACCTATAATAAGAAAAAGAATGTAACTACTTCTAAATACCAAACCAGTTTTTGCACCCAATACAATAATGCTGCTTTCCGCATTTGTCAGGTCCTAAGAAAGCATTGGGGAGTATTGAAAGAAGATCCCTTCCTTAATAGATCTTTATCCAGGGCACCTCAAGTAATCTTCCGCAAACCAAATGACCTGCGTAGACAAATAGCTCCAAGTAAGATCAAGACTCGGAGAGGTTTACACTCAGATCAGGGACTATTCGGCCAAACAGGGTGTTATAGGTGCAATGCACCAAATTGTGGGGCCTGTGCCTTTCTTTGGCACAGAAAGAAAGTAGTTGAGGGACAAAAAGGGAAAGTGTTTTCGATCAAACAATTTATTAATTGTGCTTCCACCTTTGTGATATATGGAATCCTATGTCCCTGTGGCAAATTGTATGTGGGTCGCACCACCAGAAGCCTACGAACAAGGTTTGGTGAGCATAAAAGAAATATAATTTAAAAAGCTGATGACCACTCATTACCCATACATTTTTTGAATTTTCACAACCACAGTCCTGAAGGCCTGAAGGTCTTTGGTATAGAACAAATTTCATTAGATCTTGATGAGGGGAACAGATTTAAAAGGTTATGTAGGAGGGAGGCATTTTGGATATACACATTATATGGGGATTAAATTAGGGATGCACCGATACCACTTTTTTGGGTCTGAGTACGAGTACCGATACTTTTTTTTTTTAGTACTCGCCGATACCAATTACCGATACTTTTTCTTAAAGGGGCAGATATAACTTTTTTTTATGCCATCCTGTGCCCAGCCCACACCTGTAGTGTGGCACCGTTATATCTAATTCTGCATACCTGGCTGTATATTATACATTAAAAAATGTAATATACAGCCAGGTATGCAGAAATAAATATAACTGTTCCACACTATATGTATGCATTATATCACACAGCCCCCTGAGACCTCACACAGCCCCCTGAGACCTCACACAGCCCCCTGAGACCCCACACAGCCCCCTGAGACCTCACACAGCCCCCTGAGACCCCACACAGACAAAAAGGGAAAGTGTTTTCGATTAAACAATGTATTAATTGTGCTTCCACCTTTGTGATATATGGAATCCTATGTCCTTGTTGTATGTGGGTCGCACCACCAGAAGCCTACGAACAAGGTTTGGGGAGCATAAAAGAAATATAATTAAAAAAGCTGATGACCACTCATTACCCGTAAATTTTTTGAATTTTCACAACCACAGTCCTGAAGGCCTGAAGGTCTTTGGTATTGAACTAATTTCATCAGATCTGGATGAGGGGAACAGATTTAAAAGGTTATGTAGGAGGGAGGCATTTTGGATATACACATTAAATAGTCTTTTTCCCATGGGATTAAATGAAGGGATGGAATTGGCACAGTCTTTGTAGTATCTACTATGTTTCATTATTTATTCCATCATTGAGATTCATTTGTTTCACCCTCCCAAATATATACAAATCTTCCTAGGAATTAATTTGATGTAAAGAAAAAAACTTTCCAAAAATAATTATTTAGTGAACAATCAGACCAGGTATTATATCCAAAACCGGTTATCACTTAACATATGATGTGCTTAAAAATGTCCTCATTTCATATGTAATACTAAATAATTTCAAAGATCATTTTTATACTCTAATTACCTTAAATAACTGCACCATTAATTATCTATTCATATATCTATGTATATATTATACATTCATTGTATATATACCCTTATAGGAGACTGGAATATAGTTTTTAGCCAATACATTATATTAGTATATTACTCTACATATGTAATTTTATATTGTGGTTTTAAAGTCAATTATTTATCCTAGTTATTTCCTAATTTTCCATCTGATTTAGCTTATTGTACTAATATAAGACTTAGTTGATATCTTTGAGACAGTATATCAACTAGTAATAATTGCACTATCAAATGCATTTCCATTCACACAGTATTACCACGTTAATAAGGTTTTTCTATGTATTCTCTGAGTTACTAATGCTATTGATCGTTATATTTTTTGAACCTACAACATAATTGATTGTTGCCGTGTTTTATCATTTATATGTTATGTTTATTATTGTGATTGCATATAGTGTTTCTCTCTCTCTCAGTTGTTTCAACGTTACATCTAAAAAGTTTTTTGCAACAATCTGCAACTATATGACAAACCCTAAGTGTTTATGAATTGCATAGTTGCTATTAAGCCAAGATATCGGTTTGCGATCTCAAGAGCCGTTTTTTCCACCAGAGTCAGAGGACTTTCCAATTTATAGTAACATTATACCTTTTAAACCCTTTTTATAACGGTTTTTATATTAATTCGTTTCAGTATTTTCTGATAATTTTAATAAGAATGACAATGTTTTTTTAATTATTAGTAATGGTGGTTTTATCCGCCAGACAGGTGTGAGCCAATAGCTGGATTACCGGCAATTGGTCTGAAATTGCCATATGACCTTTCGTAGACAAACTTCAGTGATTGGTCAGTTTTAATTTAAATAGAGCAGGATATAGAAGAGTTCCTTTAGGTTCTGATGAAGGGGGCGTGCCCCTGAAACGCGTAGACCATCCAAACTCACAGGGGCAGAGGACTTTTGATTTGTTTCACCCCGTGAGACTCCCGCTGTCAGAGTTTCATACTTCATCTCTTGCATGCCTTTTATCGATCGACCTTTTGTGAGTATATTTTCAGCTGTGTGCTGTTCAAATAAATAACTTTTTTACACTATGGAGGCGCTCTGTTTTATCTTTTAAAAACAGGGTAAGTTTAAACCGCTGTTAAATCGTTTTTTTGTTTTGTTTTTTGTTTTACTTTTTGCCTATGTCTACTGCTTGCTAGCAGTAGATATAGGCAAAAAAAACTGAACCCCTTTAGAACCCCTTTAACCCCTTCATGACTGAGCTTGTTTTTAGTAAATGACTGACACACTTTTGACATTTTTGCTGTGTGATTCTTCCACGTCAGTAATATACTTTCTTACAAAGTGCACCCACACATATATTGTTTTTTTAGAGGACAGATAGGGCTACATATTTATATCACATATGTGTGTCTAACGCCTCACTTAGGACAAATAAAATATAAAAAAAGGAAAAAATTTAAAAACAAAACACTTATTTCCCAGTTTTGATTTGTAGTATTTTTTTACAAAACCAGCACAGCTAAAAAAAAAAAAAATGCAAAAAATACATTCATTTATTTGTCCTTTTATTTTTTTACACTTTTTTTTTTCTTCACACTTTTTCACTTTTTTTTAACACTTTTTTCACTATTTTGTAAAAACTTTTAAACATTTTATTTATTTAATTATATCAAGCAGTCATTGTGAATTAATCTCACTATTACTGCTTGATACATTAATAAATTTTTTGGTTATTATTAGGCTGCTTCAAACTTCAGAACAGCCAATAATAAGTTAGTGACACTGATCCTGCAGCAGTTCAGGATTCAGCTGTCACTTAGGCCTCATTCACACACGAACCGGCCCGCACGTACAGCTCCGTGCTGCGTGCGGGGCCGTACCAAGCAGCTGCCGGGAAGGACAGGTGCTGCGTGTGATTAGTACGCAGCCCCCGTCCTCCTCTATGGGGCTACGCAGCCGTACGTCCCACTATGCTGGCCCGCGCTGCACATCCGTAGGGGTGCGGGTGAGTGTATTCATACGCCGCCGGAATGGATCCTGTATGCGTCCCGGCCAGAAAACCTGCACCCCTACAGACCTGCAGTTGAGGTGAGCGTAGGGGGGCGTACAGCCACGTAGCCCCATAGAGAAGGACGGGGGCTGCGTACTAATCACACACAGCACCTGTCCTTCCCGGCAGCTGCTTGGTACGGCCCCGCACGCCGCACGGATCTGTACGTGAGGGCCGATTCGTGTGTGAATGAGGCCTAATGGTTTTCTGATCATTCCAACAACTATCAGAAAACTGAAACATTCTTCTTTCAGGAGTAGATACATTATGTGTGTATTGCTGAAAGAAAAAAAAAAGCCAGTATACAATCAATCAAGAGAGATATCTCTAGATCTATACGAGCTGTCAGAATGCCGGCTCTGCTTTGACTCTCAGACACCCAATATTAAGGTATCAGGTGTCTGAAAAAGGTTAACCCTTCCATTAATGGATGCCTCTATACTGAGGCATCCATTAATGAATGGTAACCGCTGATTCTCAGCGGTTACCAGCCCTCTAATGCAGCAAATAACTCGTCACATACAGTGTACGTGACGAGTCATTTGGTCCCTTTGTGGCGGGACGTACAGTGTAGTCTCCCGTCACGAAGGGGTTAAACTAATAAAGCATATAGTTGGTGGGGAAAATGCATGCTCTGGTGATGTTATTAAACAGTGTTGATTCACCTTTCCCTGTCTGTTTTAGGAACAAAGCTTGACTCGCCTGGTGTGGCCTTTGCAGTTGTTGCTGCCTGTCAAGTCCTAGGTCTTACTGATGTGCATTTAGCTCTTTCTGAGGACCATGCATGGGTTGTATTTGGAAAAGAAGGGGAGCAGACAGCTGAAGTTACCTGGCATGGCAAGGGTAATGAGGACCGAAGAGGGCAGTCTGTAAATCCAGGCATAATAGAAAAGGTGAGATGATAAGTTTCTATAACTATAAACCCTGTGTCCATAATATTGTTTAGCGCATTGCAAACGATAAAATTCTTAAAGGACAGATTACGGATTTATAATAGGCTCCCTAACCCCCAACCTAATCTAAGCCTCAACCCTTTCACCAGGTGTCTACTTACTTGTTCCTAACTCTTCTCTAGGAAGAACACACTGGAGGAGGCTGCCAACATTTTGAAGAAGTAGGCAGGCACCTTGGTGGGGGGTTGAGGTTTATATTAGGTTTGGGGACTAGGAAGGGGATGCATGAGTGTGGGTTCTTTTTTTTTTTTTTTTTTTAATCTTAAACGAACAAACCGAAGAGAGAAGCGAATTGGTTGCCATGCACAGCTGCTCCAGATTTTGTCTGCTCCATAGTAGGGAGGGGGGTCATGAGTGTGGGTTCTTTTTTTTTTTTTTTTTTTTAATCCTAAACTTTTTTAAACACATCTTAACTATAGAATATACAATGAATGGGCCTTTATATTTTTGACTATATTTGTGAATTTATAACTATATTAATAGCCATTGCTGGAGAAAAATATATTTATACTGTAGTGCGATGGCGCTACATCTTGTTTGGGACCTGCAGCAGCTATACTGGGCTTGATTGATTTAACACTGTTTAGAACTGACTGCATATATTGTATAATACCAGGCCTCCATATCCGGAAATTTACCTGCGAGTTCCCTCACGGTTCCCAGTTCACCTTTCAGATCACTTCCGATCACAGGCAGGTGCTTGAAGACTAACTGGAGTGAAATATAAGGCTGTTCACTGAGCGGCAGGCTGTGTTCTCTAGGGAAATATTGTGTGTGTGATATGGAACTATTCCTTTTTCTTCTGTGCTGTGACTTATCTTACATTGGCTTCGATGAACAGTTTTTTCCCTTTTTGTTTCAACTGCCATTGAGCTGGGGCATCTATATACACTTACTTTAGGACCACTTCCTGTGAGGTGGCTTACATCACCTGTCAAGGAGGCATCAAAGGGTTGTGCAGCTCAAAGAGAGGTAAACCCATTTCTGGCCTGATCAGAACTTCATGTTCCGGCCATGACTGCGGGGCACATCCCAGGTGTGTAAAATTTGTGGGTGGATGACCTCGGTTGTCAAAGTCGGGATCCCAGAAATTGGTCTCTCCACCCAAAGGTGTTTGGAGACCTTTGTCACAGGACAGGGGAAGCGGACCTCCTAACTTCCAGGTTCAATAACAAATTGTACAGATTGGTTGCGAGTATGAGGGACCCTCGGGCCTTTGCATTGGAAGCCCTGATGACTCAGTGGAATCAGTTCAACCTGTTTTATGCCTTTTCTTCCTTTAAAGCTCATTCCTCATCTACTATGCAGGATCGAGGAGGAGGTCATTGCAGTGATACTAATTGCCATAGACTGACCCAGGACTTTGTTATTGTCCAGCTGCTGGCAGACTCTCTGTGGGCCCTCCTGGGTTGTCTGGATCTTGTGTCTCAGGGACCAATCTACCATCCTGCCTTTCGGTTGCTGTCTTGAACAGCTTGGCTGTTGAAGTTCAAGTCATAAGACACAGGGACCCATCAGATTTTCAAGTTTCTTTTTTACAGAGTTTACCATCGCACTATCGTCTCTGTGGGATAACTGTTGACCTTTCTCCAGTCTGCTCTAAATCAGTGTTTGGCCTTGGTTCTTTCTCAGAGCCCATTTGCCTCTCATTCCTTAGTGAAGGCCTTCATACAGGGAGGTGCACCTGTTAGTCGGATTTGTAAGGCAGCCATCTGTTTTTTCGTTGTTTTCTCTGGGACCTGTTGGCCGTTTTATTTGCTGTTTTGCCCCCTCCTTAGTTGGACTGCTTTTGGACATCCTAAGGTCCCAATGAAAAATAATTCTGTGTCCCGTGGTGTACCAATAAAGGAGAACTATGGGTAGAGGTGCACCGAAATTGAATTTTCGTGGCGAAAATAAATAAAAAAAAGTCAGACTGAACCCATTTTTTTTTCTCTAACCTTTTAAAAAAGGGGAGGAGAGCTCTGTCCGTCTGCTTGGCCTCCTATGACAGCTGACAACTGTCTCCTCACCACAACACTCTCCATCCTGATCTGCCTGTCACAGGGGGCGGTGCGGGAGGAGAGCTCGGCCTCCTTTGACACCGCTGCTTGCTGCACTCCCCTCCCTGCCCCACTTGGCCTCCTGACAGTTTCTCTCCTCCCTGCCCCACTTGGCCTCCTGACAGTTTCTCTCCTCCCCGCTGGGCTCTGCTCTGTGTCAAAGGGAAGACAGAGCATCGCCCAGCAGCTAGGAGAGAAACTAGAGATGCACAGCATTTTCAGGCCAAAAATTGTACTTTTGGCATTTCAGCCAAAGTACAATTTTCAGCCTATATGTTTCTGCGGCCCAAATTTTGGTGCATCCCCATTTATGAGGAGAATAAAATACACTCCTCCCCATAATTAGAGCTGACGTTTGATACTGAAGCTGTCACATGTCGGCTCTATAGATTGAGAACTGAGCGAACACATACCGCCGATCGCTCAGTTCCCAGTCATCTTTCTGCAGGGAGCAGTGACTGATTCCCCCCTCTCCTCTCTCTTTCTCCAGCGCTGACTGGAGGGAATGATGGGGTGGGTGGGGGTGCGGGCACAGCTGACTTTGCCTCTAGGGAGGTAAAGCTAGCTGTCAATCAGGTAGCGGGGTGGATCCTGACAATATTCTCTCCCGGCTGCAGCATGGCTCTGCGCTGTTAACGTATAGCAGGCAATAGCCAGCTATATGCTGAGTTTTGGGTCACAGGAGGACATTAGTATATGTCCTCCTGTGACCCTAAAGAGAGCTATGGGGGAAAAAAGGTTGGGCCATAGTTCTTTTAAGAAAACAGGATTTTTGTCTTGCCTTTTAAAATCTTTTTTTTATTATTTGTTGGAATTCATCACATGACACAGGTTTCTCCCCAAAATTAAGGCATGCTGGGAGTGGGAGGGATTATGCTAGGCTGTCTGATTTTACCGGTAAGGCAAAAATCTTATTTCTCTTACGTTCATTGAAGGACACAGGGCAACAGATCGTAGATCCTGTACTTTAGGGTATATAGCCACCTGCAGGAGAAGGACGCTAGGTACACAACAAAAGACAGCCTAGGGGCGGCCCCTGCTGGTGGCCCAACCCCCCACCTGCTGACAAGTCTCCTGTCTAGCGTCAGGAGTAGAAAGCTAAAAAAAATTATCCTCCTTTTCTTCGCTGTTTCTTCATGCAAGTGTCGTCATGCTGGATGATTATAGATCCTTGGAGTCTCCACTGTGCGACCAACGAGCGCATGCAGTCCCGCTACGGTGGTTCAGCTGCGACAGTGATATCTCGACGCCTGTGGGCTTTTTGGCCCGGTGGGGTGCATATGACTGGAGGTCTTGGCCTGACAGTCACAGCGGCCCACACAGGCTGGCAGGGCTGCGACCACGGTTGGGGGCGTTTTCCCGCCATTTCCCGCACATCCTGAGGTGAGGCTTCCCCTTTGTGCTGCTTGAGTCAGCCAGTGATACTGAGGGAGTTCGCTTGGTATGGTATGTATGGAGCTGTGCTGGGGACGTGCGGGTGGACCCTACCTGCTGGATGGCTCTCTGACTGACCAGTCCTCCGTGTGGGCGACGTGCTGTGAGGGTCCGGGTCCTGTGGCGGGGAGCCACAGCTTAGTATTACACTGGGCCCTTGTCTGTCTCCTCCCCTCCCCCCTTCCCCATACCTCATGAATGCAGTGTGGGTTGTCAGTCGGTGTCAGCTGTCTGCTGGGCCCTCTGTGGCGTTACCTCTACATGCGGGGGCTGTGTGAGGGTGGTCTGGGGATGTAAACATTCGGCCGCGGGTCGCACCGCGGTCAAAAATCGAGCCCTCTGACCGAGTTGCAGCCTCTGGAGGGTTCGCGGCCGCCATTTTCGTTGAGGGCAGGCGCCCTATTCGGCCGCTGTCACTTCCTGTGGGGAGCTCTGGTGCCTGGCCTAGTTCGGACGGGCGGAAGCGGCGTTCCTTTTTCCTCAGCCTGGCTGTCTGCAGACCAAACGTGTGCAGCTCTCCTCCGAATCGCTCTGCTGTGGTGTTTCAGACGCAAGGGTCATGAGTACTGCTGGAGTCCCTCTCTGCCTGTGACGGTCTCCTGTTCCTGAGGCAGTGGAGAGGTGTGAGCGGGGTATCATGGAACGCACCGCCCACCTTACCTTGCGAGGGCTGTGGGCTGCTTTCTGCTGATTCCTCTCATTCCCCCCCGTTTTTCTGCGGCATGTACGCCTGCGCCTCTCTCCCAGGCTCTCTTGCGTTCCGCTAAGGTTATCCCCTACATCCCCCATCGATGATTTCATTTATAAAGAGTGGAAGCGACTCGATGCGGCACTCCTGGTGTCGACACTGTTGCTCCGCCGGTTGCTTTGGCTCAAATGCTGGTCGACTGACCAGGCTTCCAAGAAAGCTCTGACAGAACTTCCCTTTACCGGGAACCGTTTATCGGTACCTCCTTAGATGAGATTATTAAGGATTTGACGGGGGGTAAGTGCCTTCTTACCTCAGATGCGGAAGAAGGAACAGTGGCGGAAGCCTGGTCCCTCCTTTTCTGCTCACAAATGGCTTTTTCGGCCCCCTCCGCCCTCAGAGAAGGGCGCTAAGTTCTCCAAACCTCCTCCCTCCCAGACTGCCAAGCGTCCCTGGCAGCCTTAGTCTGCCAAGCCCTCGTCCGCATGTAGGTTTGGCCCCAGCTCTGGGTCCCAGGGTGGGGGGGCGCCTTCGGCCTTTTGCGGATTTTTGGGTGGCTCACGTCTCCGACACCTGGGTGCGGGGGTCTGGTTTCTTCGGGTTACCAGATCGAATTTCTGTCCCGTCCCGGGAACAGGTTTTTTCCCGTCCAACACACGACTTTCTCTCCCGTTCATTGAAGGACACAGGGCAACAGATCGTAGATCCTGTATGGCAGCGGTTCTCAATGTGGGGGTCGCGACCCCGTCGGGGGTCGAATGACTATCTGCCGGGGG